AGCTGTCCTTGAAAAAGAGCAGTTTCTGTCAGAGCTCTCTCAGCCCCACCGACTTCACAGGGTGCCTGTTGTGGGGAGGGGAAGGGAAAGGAGTTTGTCAGCCGCTCTGAGACTCCGAGTGAAGGGCGGGGTATAAATCCAATCTCCTCCTCCTCCTCCTCCTCCACTGATCTCTGTGTTATGTTATCTCCTTGAATGGGGTGCCTCTCTTTGCCTTAACCTGGGAGCTGCCCTCTGATCCCTCCTCTCTCTCCCCCTTTGTCCTCTCCCACCCTCTACATGGCCTTCCCTGGAGACACATGTCTCTGCAGGTCTCTCCTGCAGATCCAGTGCCGTCGTACTCCCACACACATGATGGCCATTTGTGACTGGGAAAGTCCTCTGTAGGTTAGGCTTCTCTCTCTCCTTTTGCCCTCAAACTGAATGTGAACGGGATCTACTTGAATACACGTGAGTTTACCTTTCTTTCTTTCTTTCTTTCTTTCTTTCTTTCTTTCTTTCTTTCTTTCTTTCTTTCTTTCTTTCTTTCTTTCTTTCTTTCTTTCTTTCTTTCTTTTTGCAGTATTCTTCTCTGGAGATTTATTTCCTGCACTCAGGATCACACTTCCGTGAGTGGGCAAAACTCTACTATATTAACCAAATATCCCAATACTCTGTAGTCTGGAGATCGATTGTAATGGTGGGAGATCTGCAGGCCCCACCTAGAGGATGGCAACCCTAACTCATAGGATGGAGGGAAATGTTCTTCCCCAAAGGGGAAAGAGGAGGAGGAGGAGAAGAGGAGGAGGAGGAGGAGGAGAGGAGGAGGAGAGGAGGAGGAGGAGAAGAAAAACAAGAGGAGGAGGAGGAGGAGAAGAAAAATAAGAGGAGGAGGAGAAGAAGAGGAGGAGGAGGAGAATGAGGAGGAGAGGAAGAAGAAGAGGAGGAGGAGAGGAAGAAGAAGAGGAGAAGAAAAATAAGAGGAGGAGGAGAAGAAGAGGAGGAGGAGGAGAATGAGGAGGAGAGGAAGAAGAAGAGGAGAAGAAAAATAAGAGGAGGAAGAGGAGAAGAGGAGGAGGAGAGGAAGAAGAAGAGGGGGAAGAGGAGGAGCAGGAAATGAAGAGGAGGAGGAGAGGAAGAAGAAAAGGAGGAGAAGAGAAGAAGAAGAGGAGGAGGAGGAGGAGAAGAGGAAGAGGAGGAGAAGGAGGAGAAGGAGGAGAAGAAGGAGAAAGAGAAGAAGAGGAGGAAAAGAGGAGGAGGAGAGGAAGGAAAGGAAAAAGAAGAGGAGGAGAAGGAGGAGGAGAGGAAGAAGAAGAGGAGGAGGAGAGGAAGAAGAAGAGGAGGAGAAGAAAAATAAGAGGAGGAGGAAGAGGAGGAGGAGAGGAAGAAGAAGAGGGGGAAGAGGAGGAGGAGGAGGAGATGAAGAGGAGGACGAGAGGAAGAAGAAGAGGAGGAGAAGAGAAGAAGAAGAGGAGGAGGAGGAGGAGGAGAGGAAGAGGAGGAGAAGAGGAGAAGGAGGAGAAGGAGGAGAAGAAGGAGAAAGAGAAGAAGAGGAGAAGAGGAGGAGGAGAAGAAGGAGAGGAAAAAGAAGAGGAGGAGAAGGAGGAGGAGAGGAGGAGGAGAAGAGATTGGATTTATACCCCGTCCTTCACTACCCTAAGAATTCTCAGAGCTGCTTACAATCTCCTTTCCCTTCCCTTCCCCACAACAGACACCCTGTGAGGTGGGTGGGGCTGAGAGAGCTCTCTCGAGAACTGCCCTTGAGAGGACAGCTCTGAAAAAACATGTAACTGACCCAAGGTCACCCAGCAGCTGCATGTGGAGGAGGAGTGGGGAATCAAACCCGGTTCTCCCAGGTTAGAGTCCACAGTCCTAATTACTACATCAAACTGGTTTGGAAGAGGGAACGAGGTGCTGGAAAACAGGCAGGTAGAAAGTGTTAAAACGTCTTTGGTACCAGTTCTCTGATCCACCCACCCCCACCCCTACCCCTGGAGGCATTTAAGTTTTTTAAAATGTTCCCCTAGGAAAAAAAAAGCCCTGCTGAATTGCCTGTTCCTCCTGGGTCAAAGTAAACGGGGACTCTGTCCCAGAACAGAAGGCAGAAAGGAAGGAAGAGGGATCCCTGGCTGTTTGCTCGGGGAGAGCTAAAGCACACTGAATTCCTCGCTCTTGGCTGACTCCCTCTAACCTCGGGAAGAGTCAAACTTTCCCCAGGAACTGCCAGCCCGCCTGGCTTCCATCAGTACCAGGAGCAGCAGACGCAATGGATAGATGGATGGATGGAGAGAGAGAGAGAAAGAGAGAGAGAGAGCACATGGCAGAGCTAATGTTTTCGGCAAAAGGAAAAGTTGTATTTCCATGTAAACTTTCGTGTCAACTTTTCGGGAACTCGTACAGGCCTTTAAAAACCACACCACCAAATGTGCCTGCCCAAGCAGCTTTCCATCTTGCTCGGAAGAACCAGCGTTTGGCCCCAGCGCAGTCGAGCAGACCTCCCAGGTGGCTGGCTCACCACCAAACCATCTGTTTATCCAGGCCTGAGACCAGCGACAGCTGCGGAATCTCCACAAACACTCCCGCCCGGTGACAGGCGAAGTCACAAGCGGGGCTCAGGTAAGAGTCGGCATCAAGATTTCGCTCACAGCTGTTCTCAGTTCATTTTGATCATAGTAAAATTTTTTTGGGGGGGACCTGAAATGTAATTTTCTAAATATTTATATCCCAGGTAAAAGATTGAGTAAAATCCCAAGAGAATAATGAATGTAGGCCAAGACTGGCTGAAATCCCACCTTGGGTGTACTGGTTAGAGTCAGATTGGGACCAGGAAGACCTGAGTTCGAATCTCTGCTCAGACATGAAGCTCCATGGGTGCTCTGACTATGGTTGCCAACCTCAGTTTGGGAAGTTTCTGGAGATTTTGGGGGTGGAGCCTCAGAGAGTAGGGTTGCCAGTAGGGGTGTCCAAAAAAAAAAAAAAAAAATTGGCCCGTTTCAGATTCGGCCAAATCGGGCAGAATCAATTTCGGCTGACAGAAAAATTCCTCCGTGTCAATTTCGGCAGTAGGAGCCCATTGGGGATTCTTTTGGCCAGTCGAATGTCAATTTCGGCCCCATTATATCCTATGGGCCTTTGAAGTCAATGGTGAAAACACAGGGTATATTCTGGGGGCTGGAGGGAAGGGAGTTTGAGGGAGGGGCTCCAAACTCTCAGGGTAGCTGCTGGAGCCTCTTCCCAAGATACACACCAAGTTTCTAAAACATTGGACCAGGGGGTCCAATTCTACGGGCCCCCAAATAGGTTGCCCCCATCCCCTCCATTGTTCTCTATGGTGGGGGGAAAAGGTTACGAAATTCGGCAGCAATTCGGAGGAAAGCCGATTCAGATCAGAGAATCCAAATCGGCCCGCAGCGGTCCAAAAGGGGCCCGAGTGGGCCATTTTCAGGCGTGAACCGAATGCACATCCCTAGTTGCCAGCTCTCGGTTGGTAAATACCTGGAGATTTTGGGGGTGGAGCCTGGGGAAGGTGGGGTTTGGGTGGGGAGGGGAGGGACCTCAGCAGGGTATAATGTCTTAGATTCCACCCTCGAAAGCAGCCATTTCCCCCAGGGCAACTGATCTTGGTCATCTGGAGATCAATTGTAATAGCAGGAGGTTGGCAACCCTATGGGGAGGGCGGGGTTTGGGAAGAGGGTGAACCTCAGCGGGGTGCAATGCCCTGGAGTCCACCTTCCAAAGCAGCTGTGTTCTCCAGGGGAAACGACCTCTGTAATGTGGAGACCAGTTGCAATTCTGGGATATCTCCAGCCCGTGCCCAGAGATTAAATACAAGGAAAAAACCATGAACAAATTACAAGAAATGCCTGTCTGTCTGTCTGTCTGTCTGTCTGTCTGTCTGTCTGTCTGTCTGTCTGTATCTATCTATCTATCTATCTATCTATCTATCTATCTATCTATCATCTCTCTCTCTCTAGATAGATAGATAGATAGATAGATAGATAGATAGATAGATAGATAGATGATAGATATAGATAGATAAAGTTCAAAAAAAATTGAAATTGTATTGTTTGAAAGACTTATCTGCTATGTTCTGAAAACAACGAACTGCCTCGAAAGACTTAACTGCTGTATTTTGAAAACAATGAATTGACAACGTTCCCCCCCGATACAGGCACTTCATTCCTTTGAATATATTGGATGAGAGTGGAAATGATTACGGACGGAACATGTATACATTAGACTCTGGAATTCTTGTATGAATACAGTAGATGGATATTAGTATCTTTAATAAGTGTTGAATATTTATAATATATTTCTTGTAATTAGTTCAGGGTTGTTGGTTTTTTGTGTGTATTTAGCCTCTTTCCATGAGACTGCCTGGAGACTGGGAGCCCTGAGCTGGGGAGATGAGGACTGAGACCAGGCCCGTAGCTACAGGGGGGGGGGCATCCCGGGGCTAGGCCCCCCGACTTGCTGGCAAGGCCCCCTGGTTTCCTATCCAGCCCAGGGTGTCATGACCTTCTCCCATGGATTAATTTCATTAGCCAGTGCCCCCTAAGACATTTAAATGCCCCCTGGCTTAAAAACTCCTGGCTACAGGCCTGTCTGAGATTTCACCCAAAACATGCCAGACAGTGGCTGTCTCATGAAAGGGGCTAGATGACACTCCAGAAGCCCCCTCCATGGCCACTGAAGGAAATTACTGTGTAAGTCAAAAGTCTGCATCATCTTGCCCTGACCCAGATCGACTTGGCAAGCCGGAGTTTGTTCGATCTGGGAAGCTAAGGAGGGTCGACACTGGTGAGTATTTGGATGGAAGACCTCCCAAGAATACCAGGGCCGGGAGGCCAGAGGCAGGTGATCCAGCCACTTCTCTGAATGTTGCCAGGCATGGACACACAAACACACAAATGCACAAATCCCCCCCCCCCGCCGCCCAAGGTTGCATCCTCTTTAAAATAGAGGCTTGTACCGGGTGGTGGCAGTTTGTGTCATGGTTACTGTCAATGAAGTTTTGGTACCTGGTTGACAAGATGGCAGGCCTGTCCCCAACTCGGCACTGTTCCAGACCCCCTTGGCGTCACAGCTGTAGATTCCTGGGAAGAGACCAGAGTAGGAGCTGTCAATACGATTTAAGCCACTAAGGGGTGCTGCAGCAACATCTTGCCCGCGTTCGTCTTCCATGTGTGGGATACTTGTCCCAGCAAGCATTTCATAAGGCGCCACATCACCATGGATTATTGCTATTTATTTATTGGAATGACTGTTTGTTTGTTTCTTTATATAGTGCAGTCCTTGTTCGTGGTGCTTTATGGTGTTTCATAAGCCAAAAGAGAAAAAAAAAAGACTGGCCCCAGACCAGAAGAAGGAGAATGTTCTTATGAAGGCCTGGGCCTCTATGCCCTGTTATCGGCCCTCTCCATGGGACCAGGTTGGCCACTGTGTGAAACAGGCTGGACTGGATGGACCACTGGTCTGATCCAGCAGGGCTCTTGTCATGTTCTTATGAAGGCCTGGGCTTCCATGCCCTGTTGTCGGCCCTCCAGAAGAACAGGTTGGCCACTGTGTGAGACAGGAGACTGGACTAGATGGACCACTGGTCTGATCCAGCAGGGCTCTTCTTGTGTTCTTAGGAAGGCCTCGGCCTCCATGCCCTGTTGTTGGCCCTCCAGAGGAACTGGTTGGCCCCTGTGTGAGACAGGATGCTGGACTGGATGGACCACTGGTCTGATCCAGCAGGGCTCTTGTCATGTTCTTATGAAGGCCTGGGCCTCCATGCCCTGTTGTCGGCCCTCCAGAAGAACAGGTTGTCCACTGTGTGAGACAGGAGACTGGACTAGATGGACCACTGGTCTGACCCAGCAGGGCTCTTCTTGTGTTCTTAGGAAGGCCTCGGCCTCTGTGCCCTGTTGTTGGCCCTCCAGAGGAACTGGTTGGCCCCTGTGTGAGACAGGATGCTGGACTAGATGGACCACTGGTCTGATCCAGCAGTTGTGTCTGATCACACACTGACTGCACCTGCAGCTTCAAAGGGAGGTGTGATCATGCAACTGTGGGTCAAATTCCTCTGGAGGAACTAGCCTCGCTCCCCCTCCCCATTTTTTTCTGGTGCGTGTGACCACAACCTCAGTCTTGTCAGATCTTGGAAGCTCAGCGGGGTCTACCCTGGTTAGTATTTGGATGGGAAACCGCCCAGGAAGCCCAGGGTCACTCTGCAGGGGCAGGCAGTGTCAAACCACCTGTTTATTTACCCTGACCTGGACGGCCCAGGCTTGCCCGATTTCATCAGATCCCAGAAGCTAAGCAGAGCTGTCCCTGGTGAGTTCTTGGATGGGAGACCACCAAGAAGTCAACGGCTGCCACACAGAGGCAAATAAAGTCAACGATAATGTCAGGAAATAATTCATAGACAAAAGAACCTCCTCAGGAAAGCGCCTCCATTCGCATGTTTTACAGTTTTTGTACTGTTGGATTTTAAATGGTTTTAATTATGTTTTATATTGGCGTTTGCCCCTATGTAAGCCGCCCTGAGCCCGCATTGCGGGGAGGGCGGGGTATAAATTGAATTAAATAAATAAATTAAATAAATAAATAAATAA